TGAACCAACGGCAAAAGAAGACCTTTCTCTCTGTCTCTCTCTCTCACTGTCCACTCTGTCAAAAAAATAAATAAATAAAAAAAGAAGATATGAACTGTGTTATATCCAACATTTTGTAAGCTTAGATAAACTAGACAAAATCTTAGAAAATAGAACCCATTGGGTGGGTACTGTGGCATAATGGGTAAAGCCGCTGCTTGCAGTGCCGGCATCCCATATGGGTGCTGGTTCAAGTCCTGGCTTCTCTACTTCCAATCCAGCTCCCTGCTAATGCACCCGGGGAAAGCAGCAGAAGATGGCCCAACTCCTTGGGCCCCTGCACCCACAAGGGAGATTAGCAAGAAGTTCCTGGACATTGTGGCCATTTGGGGAATGAACCAGCAGATTGAAGAGCCCCCAGCCCCCGCACCTTGCCCTCTCTGTAATTCTTTCAAATAAATAAATAAATAATTTTTTTAAACAAGGAACCCATCAAAACTGATTTAGGAAACCCAAGCAGTCATACAGTCATTGAAGAAACTGAATCAGTTTAAAATCTTCCCACAGAAAAAGCACCACGCTTCAACAAATAGGCAATTCAAATAGTATTAGTTCCAAAGAATAGAACAGGAGGAGATGCTCCCTAATACATTTATGAGGCTAATAGAACTCTTCTACCACAACCAGGCAAGGATAACAAGAAAGAAAAACCATAGGCCATGAAAATAAAAGTTTAAATATTAGCAAAAAAATCTAATACTGTATTAAAAGTGAGTAGATCATGATCAAATTTGTATTTCATTCCAGAGATGCAAGATTGACCAAACTTCAGAAAATCAATTAGTATAACTAGCACATTAGTAAATTAAAGAAGAATATCACAACTCATCTCACTGATGCAAAAAAAGAGTTTAACCTATCATCTGAATTACATTTTCAGGTGTTTACCTTAGAGAAGCTCTTCTAGGAGACACACAACAATGTGTGTACACGGCAGCATCAGACACAAAGTAGAAAACACTCAAATATACATCAGCACCAATGAATGGATACAATAGTGTATTCTTGCTAGATATTAAGCATCAGTATGGGAAACGAACAGCAAGCTATACATATTAACTTATCCCAAAGGTGGAAAAATCATGTAAGAGTTGATATAGTGGGACTCTAATGATATAAAGCTATGTGACAAGCAAAAGTAAATAACAGGCCGGCGCCGCGGCTCACTAGGCTAATCCTCCGCCTAGCGGCGCCGGCACACCGGGTTCTAGTCCCGGTCGGGGCGCCGGATTCTGTCCCGGTTGCCCCTCTTCCAGGCCAGCCCTCTGCTGTGGCCAGGGAGTGCAGTGGAGGATGGCCCAGGTGCTTGGGCCCTGCACCCCGTGGGAGACCAGGAAAAGCACCTGGCTCCTGGCTCCTGCCATCGGATCAGCGCGGTGCGCCGGCCGCAGCGCGCTGGCCGCGGCGGCCATTGGAGGGTGAACCAACGGCAAAGGAAGACCTTTCTCTCTGTCTCTCTCTCTCACTGTCCACTCTGCCTGTCCAAAATAAAAAAAAAAAAAAAAAGTAAATAACAGGTATTTATTAATACATAATTTAAGAATACACACTGAAATAAAGCTCAAAGGAAGCCCAGGCAATGATTAACATGGAACTCAGAGAATGGGTACTTGAGCCTGGGAGCAGGCAGAGGTGGGGACCTCCAGGGACTTCTTATAGTCTTAGCAAGGTTGTATTTTTTAAGCCTTCTGGTAGGACCCAGGTGTTCACTTTTTTTACTGGTCTTTAAAGTGTGCATAAGATTTTATAATGCTTTTTACATACTCTACATTTCACAAAGATAAATAAATAAAAGTTGAGGTAAGTTGATGTCTAAAAGAGAAACAGATTGAAACCATTTTTGCCAGTAGCTGTTTGCTTGACTGACGGAGTTCCCAGCAGGAGTTGGCATTGGAAAGCTGTCTTCCTTCTGTCTGTTTCCTGATAAATTATTAATGAAGCTCTGAGTTGTAGAAGCAACAGGGCACAGAGCACACAGAAAAGTGCTACAGATTTTGTTTCTTACCCAACTCTGCCCAGTTCCAAAACTGAGCAGTAATAGTTATACAATGTTGTGAATGTAATTAATGCCATATGAATTATATGTCATATGTCATTTCTTACAATTAAGAAAACAATTGAGAAGAAGGAACCAGAAGGCAGGACCAGATGTTAGGTGTGAATCAGCAGAGAGATATCCCAGGGCATTTCAATTTTGAATAAAATAACTGTTAAGACATGGACTTGTGTACTGAACATAGCAAATGGAAAAGTCCAGAGATAGAATCAAAGGCAAGCTTCACTGTGTAAGATCTAACAAGAAGATGGAACACAAATTTAACCTTGAGATGATGTGGACAGATTTTGGAGCAAGGAGAGAAATTCCCAGTGTAAGTTTGCCTTCTCTTGGAGGAGATGTTAGAAGGTGTGTTCAGTTCAGCTTCTGGGCTGACAACATAAGTGGCAACACAGCTTGTTTAAGCCATATTTCAGATGTTATCAGTACCTGCATCCTGCATACAGTAAGTTTTTTTTTTTTTTAGTATTATTATAAACTGTGTTCTGGCAAAAAAAAAAAAAAGAGTTGTATTATAAGGAAGTTTGATTTCCACATCTAGCTTTTCACAAAAGCCTATTTTCTAAGAGAAACAGGCTGTTGTTCTGTGGGGGCAAAAAGAATGAAAGTGCCATCAATGGGAGACACAAAGAATATTCTAAGAGGGAACTTACTAGGCAGATTCAAACAATGCCTGAGTCTGCTTTGGAATGATCAGAGCTGAGAATGCAGCATGGGACTCCTTGTCCCCTTGTTCTGTGATCTTGTGGGCATGCAAACTAAACCCAGAGGCAGGACATTGCCAAGAGCAGTGACAGCACAGGTGGCTCAGTGTACAACACCAGGGGATGTGAGACTGGTGCTCCTGGAAGTAGCCAGCGTGCTAGATGACAGCCACTCATAGGCACCTGGCACTGAGTGAGAAACTACACAAATGTCATGGGGTGGACACTTACTATGGCTTCCAGACAATAATTCTATAGAAATACAAGTAATACAAAACACCTCTTTTGTACTAAAACACACATGGCCATCTCTTGGCCATATCCATGGGATTCAATATGAAATTCACTGTAGCTTAAATTTTTATTTATTTATTTATTTATTTTTAATTTTTTGACAGGCAGAGTGGACAGTGAGAGAGAGAGACAGAGAGAAAGGTCTTCCTTTGCCGTTGATTCACCCTCCAATGGCCGCCGCGGCCGGCGCGCTGCAGCCAGCGCACCGTGCTGATCCGATGGCAGGAGCCAGGTACTTATCCTGGTCTCCCATGGGGTGCAGGGCCCAAGTACTTGGGCCATGCTCCACCGCACTTCCCGGGCCACAGCAGAGAGCTGGCCTGGAAGAGGGGCAACCGGGACAGAATCCGGCGCCCCGACCGGGACTAGAACCCGGTGTGCCGGTGCCGCAAGGCGGAGGATTAGCCTAGTGAGCCACGGCGCCGGCCTTGTAGCTTAAATATTAAAGCAAGAAACTTCATGTTTTCAGTGGCCACTTGAGCTACATTTTCAAATCCCTAGGACAAGCCTTTACTGTTAGGGTTACTTTAGGGAAACAGGCATTTATTTTTTGACATTTACCAGAAAACAAACATTGAGTATAAATTAAAATTACTATTGATTATCTTGCTCATCAGTGTAACCAGAATGAATCCAGGGGAGGGGTTGTCCAGATTTTAAAAAACAATAATCCTATGATCATATGGAGTTGGAAAGGTTAAATGCTGAAAGAACTGTTTCCTGTAGTAGCCATATTATACCCATTGTAAAATCTGATTCTGGTTTGATCAAGAATAGTATTAGCTATTTTTATTTTATTGAGTTATGCTAATTTTATCTGGCACTAAACCAAGTCAATTTGAATATAAAATTATTTAAATTCATATCACCATCTGGAAAGAAAATTATTTGTAAATGACACTAATCTTGAATTAAAAATCCTTTACATTCAAACCAAATATACAGTCACACGATGGAAAACTATGCAACCATAAATTCACATTGTAGGAAGAATAGCTGAAGCAAGATACATACTGATGATGTATATACTGAGAACAGTCTCACAAAAATGATGAAAGGGGCCGGCGCTGTGGCATAGTGGGTAAAGTTGCCACCTGCAGTGCTGGCATCCCATATGGGCTACTCCACTCCCAATCTAGCTCTCTGCTATGGCTTGGGAAAGCAGTAGAAGGCCCAAGTCCTTGGGCCCCTGCACTTGCGTGGGAAACCTGGAAGAAACTCCTGGCTCCTGGCTTCGGATCAACACAGCTCCGGCCACTGGGACCATCTCGGGGGTGAACCAGTGGATGGAAGACCTCTCTCTCTCTGCCTCTGCCTTTTTGTAACTCTACCTTTCAAATAAATAAATAAATCTTTAAAAAAAGGATGCAAATACACACATACAAAAGTACTAAAAGGACACAGATCAAAATATTTAAGTGAATATGTTTGATTGGATGGCCAGTTTTGTTTTTTTCTTCTTTGTGCTTTTCTACATTTTCCAAATTACTTGAATTTAGCATATACTAATTTGGTAATTTTAAAAGTATAATAAAAATTGAGTACAGAATATATGTATTAGAAATATATATTTTAAGAAATTTTTGTGAAAGAGAGGGAGAGAGATCTTCCATTTGCAGGTACACTCCAAAAATGCCCACACCAGCCAAAGCTGGGACAGGCTGTAACCAGGGGCCCGACACTGATTCCAGGTTTGTCACGTGTGTGGCAGGGACTCAAGGATGTCGGTTATCATCTGCTGCCTCCCCGAGTGCACATTAGCAAGAAGCTGGATCTGAAAAGGGGTGGGACTCAGACCCTGAGACTCCAACATGGGAAGTAGGCATCCCAGGCAGTCTCTCACCGTTGAGCCAAGTGCTTACCCCTTAGAAATAATTTTGGATAGAAAAAAATCAATAGAAGCATACCTGTGAATAACACATCTCCACCATCTAAGGTTGCATTTTCATCTTTCATCTCCACTATATTGAGCTGAAGTTTTTCTAATGCTTCTTTCATCATGTCAACCTATTAAAAATAAGATGATACCAATTAATATCTTACCATTTTCTGAAAAGAAAACCAACTATATAAAAATTCTGAGCACTAAATCATACTCCCACATACACAACTGCGCACACATCTTTTTGGTTATATGGAAAATGTAGTACAATGTAGGATCAATCATGATCATTTATAAGAGAAGACTTACCTGTTAAAAACTGTCCATTTGGGGTAGGCATTTGGCATAGTGGTTAAGATGCCACTTGGGATGCCTGACTCTCATTTTGGATGCCTGGGTTGCAGTCATGGTTCCATTCCTACTCCTGATTCTGGCCTCCCGCTAACGTGCTCCCTGGGAAGCAGCAGGTGATGGCTCAAGCAGATGGGTCCCTGCCACCATGTGGGAGATTTGGATTGAGCTTCTGGCTCTTGGCTTTGGACTGGTCCATCTCTGGTTGTTGCAGAGATTTGTGGGGAGTGAAGCAGGAGCCTGCCCATTTTGTTCCCTTCTAGCTCAAGGCTGAATCAATGTTATAGTTCCTTTTTCTGAGAAGGCTGACCACGTAGGGTCCAGTTCAAAGATTTAGTCAGGAAACTGTTGCAAGACTAACTAGTCAGGGCACATAAGTTAGAGGCTGTGGAAAGCATAGTACCCAATCCCTCCACCCTTTCCAGAAAGGACAAGATTTAATTTCAAATCCCTTATCAGTCAGAATTACACATGGAAAAAATATCAATGACAATAACTAACAACTTGAAACCTCAACCCACAGGATTTTTTTTATTCAAGTATTTTCTAAAATGTCAGAACATCCAAGGGTTTTCTGTAAATCTAAACTGTTATTTCAATTTATCCTCAAACGCCAATATGACTGCCTATCTTTTAAAACTTAAAGGTCATTAACAAGTAGGATAGCTGCAATGAAACTAGAGAAAGCATTAAAATGAAATTTTTCTTTCTATGATCCCAGGCTGTGTCTAACACACAGGGATAATCTGGGCTGAATTAGGGAACACTTCTAGTGAGGCTTACTTTAAATCAAGGAGAAGATAAAAGGTGGAACAAATGCCCTTTGAGACTTGCAGTTTAATCTAAGTTCCTCCAGAAGCTCAGCAAAATAAATTGAATATGGTTAAGACCTGCAAAACCTTTAACATGGTAAAGACATAGATTGAGAAGACATGAAAGAGGCTAGAGGGAAAACAAGAGATCACATCACACTGGGCAAAGCAAGCAGTTCTGCCAAAACGCATTGTGCTGAGCACACATAGGGAATTGTCAATGAAGAGTGTATGAGACATAAATACAGGAGAGCTATTCCTAAAGCAATAAAAATATGGAAATACTTCAACAACAAGACCGATATTCATGCACTCAAAAAAACATTAAAGAGGATTCAAAGTAAAATAAATATATCATCTCATCCTTGTCCCGGAACTCATGTAAAAATTCCACAAACCAGAATGACTCAGAACAATAAAAATTATTTCCATGGCTGAAATGGTCTTAACATTGTAATAAATACATCCAGTGACCTCTTTAAACCGTGGAATAGTTTTCCTATGTAATAGGAAGTGGAATTGTTGCTATAGCATAAGAAATGAGCACAACAACATTTACCATAACTTCTGGGGCTACTGTGAACCCAGGAAAACACACGACTGTTTCCTTCTGGCAGCCCTGCTTCAAAGTCCACAGACAACTACTCAGGAGCTTAGAGAGCGATCCTGAGAACTGAGCTGTAGTTATCTTTTGTTTCTACTACTAATACTAATGCCTCTGTTATAACTAAACATTTCAAAGGTTACTAGGAATTCAGCTATATAATGGATTTTGGTCTGAAAAGTTTATCTGTAATGAAGTAACATCTCTATTTAGGAACTTTATTCAACTCTTAAGAATTAAAGAGAGGCTGGCGCTGTGGCGCAGTGGGTTAAAGCCCTGACCTGAAGCGCCGGCATCCCATATGGGCGCCGGTTCTAGTCTCAGCTTCTTCTCTTCCGATCTAGCTCTCTGCTATGGCCTGGGAAAGCAGTAGAAGATGGCCCAAGTCCTTGGGCCCCTGTACCCACGTGGGAGATCTGGAAGAAATGCCTGGCTCCTGGCTTTGGATCGGCGCAGCTTCGACTGTTGCGGCCATCTGGGGAGTGAACCAGTGGAGGGAAGTCCTCTCTCTGTCTCTACCTCTCTCTATAACTCTTTCAAATAAATAAAATAAATCTTAAAAAGAAAGAATTAAAGAACAGCACAGGGAGACTACTATGTACACCCATTTCAGAAATGCTGTATTTTATAAGAAAGTCTTGTCTTTCAAAATTGAGGTTTTAGAGGATTAAATGTTTGTGGTTTCTTAAAAGTTAAAACAGCTGCACTGATGTTAAAAAAAAAAAAAAACTGGCTTTTGTGCAAGGGCAGTGATTTCTTCCTCTCTCTTTTTTAATACCCAGTCACATCTATATAAACAAAGTCATCAAGATCATTCCATACCACAAATGTTGACACTATATTACTTCCAGCGTTAAGTGCATGGACACATTTTAAAATAAACGCAAACATCAAGTAAATAGTTTTGGGAAGTGCAGGACCCTATGGCAGCTAATCCGTAGTGCTAACTCCACGGAGACTTCTGGGGCAGAGCTGAGGGTGGCTAAAGCCGGCAGGCTGTCCATTGAGGACTTTATTCTCTTGGCACAGAGGTTTGAGAGAAGCAGACAAACTCAGCTGCAAAAAGGCCCAGGGTTGCCCCGACACAAGGGCCCATGGCTAGCCAGCTATTCAGGCAGTTAGAACACTAAATATAATTATAGAAGTGGGAATTTTTGCAGGAAAAGATCCAAGCCATGAGTCTTCAAGAAACTGCCATGGTTAATGTTGACTTAATTAGCTTTCAAGAGTTGGGTAAAAAAGGACTAAACACCACACCCACCTTTCACAGAGACACTAGCCCTGCCCAGTGGGACTTCAGGTTACTCAGAGTAACCCTCAGAACAAACTGTCAGTTCCAGAGGATGAGCAGAAAGGGGCAATTTAAACCATGAAGTTAGACATAAAGAGGGTAGTAGCAGCATGTGGCACAACAAGTAAAGCTTTTGCTTGCAGTGCCAGCATCCCATATTGGAGTGCTGGTTCAAGTCCTGGCTGCTCTGCTTCAGATCTAGCTCCCTGCTAATGCACCTGGGAAAGCAGCAGAAGATGGCCCAGGTCCTTGGGCCCCTGCCACCCACATGGGAGATGCAGATGGAGTTCCAAGCTCCTGGCTTTGGCCTGGCCCAGCTCCAGCTACTGCTGTCATTTGGGGTATGAACCAGTGGGTGGAAAATTCTCTTTCTCCCCCTCCCTCTCTTTCTCCCTCCCTCCTTCTCTCTGTCTCTCTCTCTCTGTCCCTTCCTCCCTCCCTCCCTCTGCCTCCTTTGTAACTCTGCCTTTCAAATAAATAAATCTTAAAAAAAAAGAAATAAAGAGGGTATATTCATTAAATCTCAATTTAAACCTAGTATATAATTTTCATACTCCATACAAAAGATGTGTAAGACCTTTCTTCCTTCCCTTTCCACGCTTCCATCTCCCTTTCTAACTTTATACAGCATTTCTTTTTGGCCCATATTTTTCCCTCCTACCCTTTCACAGATTCCTTCCCTGGCCACAGCTGCTTCTTCCACTCCTCCAACCCACACTTCTTTCTCTTTGAGAGAAAGATACAGCCTTGACGTACTTACCTTCTCTTTCCTTTCCTGTCTTTATTTTTACACCCTCCCACTCCCCCACCCTGGAGTACGATATGAAAAAATGTAGAGTTACTGAAGTTACACATTCACAGTCACTATTCTAGGAATGCCTGTATACTACAGTATTATATCCAGGGCCTGGGGCTCAAACCTCAGCTCTGCTACTTATTAGCCAGTGACCTTAGGTTGTTCATATTTCTGAGCCTCAGTTTCCTCATTTTAATTGCATCAACTTCTAAGGCTCCTTCTGGTCATTAAATATTGGTAAAGCACTCAGCACCTGGCAGTTACTCCATAAATACTAGAGCTGCCTCCTGTTATTTTGGTGCATACCAGCTTGTGTGCACACAGTGACAGATATTTGTGCTATGAAACTGACCCACAAGGAAAAGGCTGCTGCTTTTTCTTACTTTTGGATGTGATTCCCATGTTTTACCATCCTACGACAGATCCCATCTGCTTTCTAGTGAATTACAATTACAGTGTTCTCTGCAAAGCCAGAGTAAAGTTAGAGCACACATCGAGGGCACATTGAAATTTAAATTCGAACCTTCAAATCTGATTTCCTTCCAGCTCCTGGAAGCTGTCAGGATATGAGGTAGATTTCCTGCATAATCTCTGCCTCAAAGTAAACCTCTTGGAGGTTCTACATAAGGTAGGAAATGCCCTGTCTGGCAAGGTGTCCCACAGGCCTGACCAGCATCGGCCAAGCAGCCACAGACAATGACAGTGATGGGGGACGCTGCGATGTAAACACCAGCGTGAACACTTCCTTCTCCTTCCCCATGCCCGTTCTCCTTTATCTTTCCCATTCCATCCTCTTCTTGCCTCTGTGATGGCTCTCATTTCTGTGCCCTTCTTTGTCCTATCATGTAACATTGCCATTCTGTCTTCTCATTTCACTCGTGGGTGAAAAGAGCTAGGGCTTTGCATACCGGCTTGTTCCTTACTGGTGATGTGGATGGACTGGTCCACTTGGGCTGGACCAGAGACCCAGTTTCCCGAATGGCAAGTAGGATAAAGTTTTCTCTCTATCAAGGATTATAACAAGTAAAATGATACATGCAAAGCACCGAGCTTAGTACCTGTCTCACTGATGGCCTTAGGGTTATTTTGCCTTAATGTCACTCAGTTTTTGGTTTGGACTCCAGATACATTTCAGAAAGAAAGAAATGATAAAAACACAGCATTTGCAGCATTAAACAGGACATCTTTGAAACTCAGCTTTCTTTTTCTTCTTGTAAATCTCTTCCAAACCTAAAATTCCAAAACAATACAAAACCTCCCAGATTTCCAAC